TGCATTCCTCTTTGTTACGAAACTTATCCTTCTCTTTTAAATTTTCATCCGACTGCATATACGGATTGAAAAATAAGTCAGTATAAGGTTCATCTTCGCCCATGTTGAAGTTTGTCATGTGCGGAGGTGGTGTGTAGATTTTGTTTGCAGGAATACTTGGGATGCCATCATCGTCGGAATCATCATTCACCATTTCGTCAAACTCTAACTCGTTATCTTCTTCATCATCAACTGCATTTACCTCAGCTTGTTCATTCTCCAAAGGATCAACCTCCTGTGTCACCTGAGGCTGAGGCTGAGGCTCTCGCATCATAACGTATAACTCAATAGAGTCGTACCCAGAATAGACATGGCTGGAAAACATATTCTAGACATCCTCGTCATCTTGAACTTCAACCTTATAAAAAATTACTTGGTTGTTTCCAAAGAAAACTGGATTCTGATAAAATATCTGGGACACCGGGCCTCGTTCAAGTTTGGCCTCCAATCTTTTTTTGAAGTACGAGAAATTGGTTTTCCCGTTTAAGAGAAATCGGATGTTGTCTGTGTCTCTAAATAAAAACCCAGCGGTGGGACAAATGTATGTCTCACCGTTGAAATGTGCTTTGACGACAAATTATGGTGCGGAGGCCATTGCGTAGAATAGTTTTAAGGTTTGAAGGTTGGAATGTTTGAATTTTATGAGTGATTCGAAGGTTGGAATGTTTGAGGTTTATTGATTGTATGAAGGTTTGAATGCTGTAATGTTTGAAGGTTGGAATGTTTGAATTTTATGAGTGATTCGAAGGTTGGAATGTTTGAGGTTTTTTGATTGTATGAAGGTTTGAATGCTGTAATGTTTGAAGGTTGGAATGTTTGAACTTTACGAGTGATTCGAAAGTTTATATGTTTGATTGTTTGCAGGTTTGAAGGTTTGGTTGTAAGAACGTTTGAAGGTTGGAAGATTTGACAGATTATGTGAATCAATGTTATGATAAACGTAAGGCTAAAAATTTCAATTAAGTAAGGATGCAACCCCCCAAGACTGCCAATAATGTTACATGCAAGGAATCCCAAAGGCTGTCACGTAGCCTGAGCCTAGGCTGCAACAAAGGACACCTCTTATTCGCCAATTGGGGTGGCGACACCATTCATTTTTGTACTCTTTCACCAAGTCCAATGGCGCCTCCCTTACTGTCCAATCGTGGTACATGCATGCAGATATGTAACCCCCTAGGCTGCCACCTAGCCTGCCCATAGTCTGCACCTATACATGTATGTTGTAAGTCTCCTCCCATCACCTCCAATGGGCTTACATGCACTCAGGCAAGGAATCCCAAAGGCTGTCACGTAGCCTGAGCCTAGGCTGCAACAAAGGACACCTCTTATTCGCCAATTGGGGTGGCGACACCATTCATTTTTGTACTCTTTCGCCAAGTCCAATGGCGCCTCCCTTACTGTCCAATCGGGGTACATGCATGCAGATATGTACCCCCTAGGCTGCCACCTAGCCTACCCATAGTCTGCACCTATACATGTATGTTGTAAGTCTCCTCCCATCACCTCCAATGGGCTTACATGCACTCAGGCAAGGAATCCCAAAGGTTGTCACGTAGCCTGAGCCTAGGCTGCAACAAAGGACACCTCTTATTCGCCAATTGGGGTGGCGACACCATTCATTTTTGTACTCTTTCGCCAAGTCCAATGGCGCCTCCCTTACTGTCCAATCGTGGTACATCCTTAGGCTGCCACCTAGCCTGCAAGAGTGACACCTTTCATTTTTTGTACATGCATGCATTCATATATGTAACCCCCTAGGCTGCCACCTAGCATGCAAGAGTGACACTTCGCAGGCATGCAAGAACCAGCAACCACTATATGAAATTTATTTGCCTATAAATACATATCATATCATACATCTCTCACACCCACACAAGTCTCACTCTCTGCTACGAAATCTTTCATACTCTCTTAAACTTTCTAAGTCTATCATACTCTCTATCTCTTCCTAAGTCTTTCATAATCTCAAACATTTTAAACAATGGCTCTTCTAACAATGGGCGATACTCACAGAGGCACAAGGGAAAACATTGCTGCATTTGTAAGTTTCTTTTTTGGTTATACATTTTTCATACTTCAGATAATGCGTTGTTCTTCTTACTAAATCTTACACATGTTACATTATGAACTCAGGACACAAAAAGATTCAGAATCCGTTCTCACAACTACCTTGCTCCCGACCCATTTATCGTACCATATCTGGAATACGCAGGTTTTGGACATGTCATAAAGATCTCCAATTGCACTATTGACTCGAAGTTCATTCTTGCAATGTTGGAAAGGTGGAGACCAGAGACCCATACATTTCACCTACCAATAGGTGAATGTACCATCACACTAGAGGATGTGTACATGCTACTAGGTCTCCCTGTCGACGGTAAGGCCGTGAACGGGTCGGTTCAACAACCCAACTCTCAGTGTGAAGAACTGTTGGGCAGGGATATGGTAGAAGGTGGTGGTGCAAGAGGTCAGGGAATACTACTCACTGAGCTGAAAAGTCATTATGCAAGTTTGGAATTAAATGAAAATTCCTCCGAGAATGACAGGGTAGTAAAAGCCAGAACTTATCTTATGATACTTTTTGGTACATTTTTATTTCCCGAAAGTACGGGAAATAGTGTAAATTTTATGTATTTACATTTACTAAGAAATTTTGAAAAAACAAGAAAATATAGTTGGGGTTCTGCAGTTTTAGCCCACCTATACAGTTCTTTGTGCAAAAATGCAGTCAAGGAAAAATGTACATTTTATGGATGCGCTTTTTTACTACAAGCCTGGGGTTGGTGGAGGATGGAGTCCTTAAACCCCGTCAACAACAACACTTTCGGTTTCCCGTACGCAACAAAGTAAGTCATCAAGTTATAGCATTTATAACTATTCATCTCTTCCCCAAATATATGCTAAGAATAAAATGTTTCTCATTTCCTTTAGGTACTGCGTGAGGGGTATGGATTACGGCAAGAATCCAAGATTCAATGTCGCACTCTATCGTAATCTGTTGGATCACTTAGGCCCGGATGACGTACATCGTAGCTTTTAACTTTTGTTCATTTAAATTATTTATACATTACTTTTGTGTTAACCTGATTTAAATTTTATCGCAGTTCGTCTGGAGACCATATTTGGGTTTGGGCCATGATCCAAACTCGGAGGATGCAGCAACTTGGACTGCGAAGACTGCAATCATTCGGTTCAACATTATGGAGATACACCACATCAACCGTGTGAAGATGCAGTTCGGAATGCATCAGGAGATACCAAGTGATCCAACTTGTTTGTCCCCATGGCATCTTAAAAGGGTCGACGCCCAGTGGGGTCTTACCAACTGGAAAGACTTCGCTCCTGAATGGTGTAAGATGTGGCAGAGGCGTCACCGCTACGTCTTGCAATTCCCGGTTTTCCTTAATCAAGGTAATATGCGACACACAGATCAATATTTGTCTTGGTACATGTCGGTTAGTAACCCTGAGATGCACATGTCTCATCCAAGGTACTTGGTTGACCCACGCACACAATGGGCACAACCCTCGTTTCCACATCAACAAACCCAAAACCCATCAACCTCCCACCAACCCCCAAGAAGAAACAGACCCACAAACACCCAACCACAGTCCTCACCACAACACAACTACACTCAAATGCCACACAACTAACCACAATCACCACCACACTACCAATACTCCGATATGCCTCACACCCAACCACAATAACAATCCCAATACCAGCACACCTGCATACTCCACACACAATTTCAGTCTTCCGCATATCCCAATATGGGCCCCTCAACATCCAGCCTTAGCCCTGATATGGAAAATGTCGAAAGATTACGAACAAACCGACCCAACCTACCATCAACCACAATATCACCAAACCACCCAACATCCTCAATACCAAACACCCCAAGATCCATTTCCTTTCTACCCACCGTACTATGGAACCCCATCCACCGCCAACACGACCAAACTTTGAGGGTATGGGTAACCGACTGTACCAAAGCGGATCTTCTAGATATGGAGATCTGACTGATTTTATGGATCCGGACCGCATTGACTTCGCTGGACCGCATTGACTTCGCTGGGCCATCGACCTTGCCGCAGGAGGAAACACGACGACACCCAGCACGAGAAAGGCGAGGACGGGGATGCGGAACCGGGGGTCATTACCGGGTTCCGGGGGATCACTGATTTATCTGTTTTTTTTCCTGTATTTTTTTATCCGTTTTTTTTTTCTGTTTTTTTATCTGTTATTTTAATGTAATACAGTTGGATGTAATTATTTTTTTTATAATAAAAAGTCCATTTTGTTGATCCTCTATCGAACACGCAACGCACCGGACAAAAAAAAATCATATTTTGCCCTAAATTAACACCTAGGCGTCATCTCACTTGGCTTAGGACATGCCCTAAGCACATAGGCGTCAAGTGAGATGGCGCCTCCTCTTAAAATATAGGTGCATGCGCCATTTCAGATGGCTCCTCCTTTGGAGAGTCATCTGAAACATGATTATTTGCGTAATTTTTTCCGAAATCCGATTATTTGCGAAATATTATTTTAATAATTGATTATTAATAAAAAAAATTCTATCACCGTATGCAACAAATAAATTAGGATTTTTAAGACTAATAATTATTATTTGTAATGACATTTAAATATATGAAAATAATTTTATTATATTGAAAGTAGACTGGATTTAGGTTTTTATCGTTTGACCTGTAAATTAATTAAATGGACCCGCAGGAAAGAATATGGCAGTATGGGATACGAATGTCATTTTTGAGAGAGACCGACCTAAGCTATTCTTTCTTCCATCTGGCATCTGCCTTCTCATCGTGTGCCTCTCACAAAAAAAAGAAAAACTCAGCCGCCGTAACTCGACCTTTGCCAATCACTCAAATTTCTCTATTCATAAACCCTTCCCTGCCACCGTTTCATTTTAGATTCCGAGCGAACAAGCGATAGAAATGATTGTAGCTAGACATTTCTCCCCTTCAAAGGTTAAAACGCTCTATTATTTATCACTCTTTTCCCACTGCAAAAACCATCTTTTTACAACCTCAACACCAAACTCCCATCTCTATACCCTTACAACATCATGTAATTTCTTTCGCTATTTCTCTTCACAAAAGTTGCCCTTCTCTCGCGAGGGTAATTACGATGAAGCCACTTCCCAATCTCTTCATGTCTGCCCTGGTTGTGGGGTTTGTATGCAAAATTCCAACCCAAAACAACCTGGTTATTTCATTAAACCGTCTGAGAAAGACCTAAATTATAAAATGTACACCCATCTTGAACCCGTTGCAGCAGAGCCCGAATTCTCTAACACTGTTAAAAAAGGGTTTGTCATTGAACCACAAAAGCTTGACACTGTTACTGACACTGACTTGGTTACGAAACCGGAAAAGCCAGTGGTATGCGCACGCTGTCATTCGTTGAGGCACTATGGGAAGGTCAAGGATCTCTCTCTGGAGAATTTGTTACCGGATTTCGACTTCGATCATACAGTCGGGAGAAAGTTGGCATCAACCAGCGGGACACGTTCAGTGGTGCTTATGGTTGTGGATGCAGTGGATTTTGACGGCTCGTTTCCAAGGAAAGTTGCAAAGTTGGTTTCTAAGACAATTGAAGATAATTCTTCTGCGTGGAAGCAGGGTAAGTCAGGGAATGTGCCTAGAGTAATACTTGTAGTTACAAAGATTGACTTGTTGCCTAGCTCATTGTCGCCCACGAGATTGGAGCATTGGATTAGGCAAAGAGCTAGAGAGGGTGGTATTGTTAAGATTACTAGTTTGCATATGGTGAGTGCGTTAAGAGATTGGGGACTTAAGAATCTTGTGGATGATATTGTTGGTTTAGCTGGATCTAGAGGGAGTGTGTGGACTGTTGGGGCACAGAATGCAGGAAAGAGCACATTAATTAACTCTATAGGAAAACACGTTGGGGGGAAGATTACACATCTGACTCAAGCACCTGTTCCGGGTACTACACTCGGCATTGTTAGAGTCGAGGGCGCTCTTCCAAGTCAGGCTAAATTATTTGACACACCCGGCCTTCTCCATCCTTACCAGATTACAACAAGGTTGATGAGGGAAGAGCAAAAGCTCGTTTATATGACCAAGGAGTTGAAACCTAGGACATATAGAGTTAAGGTTAGTGCACTCAAATACTAATTTGTGTTGCTGACTTTGATATTATTATTTACATTTGTATGCTCATTTCCGTGCTCTTATGTGCTTCATTCTTTTACCGATTCATCGTGGTAGGCTGGTCATTCGATTCACATAGCTGGTCTTATGAGATTGGATGTAGAAGAGACGTCCCTCGATACTATCTATGTTACGGTGTGGGCGTCTCCTTATCTTCCTCTGCATATGGGTAAAGTAGAAAATGCAACTAAAATGTTCCAAGAACATTTTGGACACCAGTTACAGGTATTTTCTTTGCTCGTTTTAAGCAATATAGATATTCAATTGCCATGATATGCTAATTATGCTTTGGTAGAGTGCTTGTAGATATCTATCTATGTTGCAAGAAAAGACGCAAGTTTCTCTTTTGATTCATAGGCATTATTCATTGTGCATTACAATTTCCTCTTGTATAACACCAGTCTGAATTTTCCTTTGTTCAGCCACCAATTGGAGAAAAACGAGTCGAAGAATTGGGGAATTGGGTTAGAAGGGAATTTCATGTTGGTGGAAACAGTTGGGACTCGAGTTCTGTAGACATTGCTGCTGCTGGCCTTGGTTGGTTTGCCATTGGACTTAAAGGAGAAGCCATGTTGGGTGTTTGGACTTATGAAGGAGTTGATGTTGTTCATCGAAATTCGTTGATACCCTATAGATCAAATACTTTTGAAGTCACAGGATTTACCGTATCGAAGATTGTCTCACAGTCTGACCGAGCTTCAAATAAGCCACGTCAACAAAATGACAAGAAGACAAAGCGGATTGAATCAAAACCGCTATCCAGTTCGGTCGAATCAGCACTATTGACCTCCGAATGAGGCATATAATAATGATGTCAGTTTGGAGGAAAGCAAAAGGACTTGAATTGTCATTTAGTTTCTATACCGATAAAATATCTCAGTTTTATAAGATAGTTTTGCAGTGATGTCTTATCCAAAATCCAATCTAAATTAAGTCTGATCTATATCAGAGTACTTATTTGTTTGAAAGAGGTGTCAAAAAAATAGTTTCAGAAATATTTTATGTTGTGCTTTGTAGCAGATCAGAATTGGCTCTCAATGTTTAGATCCTTCTGAGTTAGTTGAAGCGGCTTAATGAGATTATTAGCTTTGCACCCACCGAGGTTCTCGTTTGAGAATTGAAATTAAACTATTTAATTTAAGTATTAATAAGTATGCATTGAAATTGTGCTGCATTCTTTTTCATGATAAAACTCTAGCACTCTTAATTATGGTTTTTTTCAAAACCCTAGCCACTTTAATAACGGTTCTTTATTCAAAATTTTATTTGTTTATTGGAGAATATAATTTGCCACCTTAAAATTTAAACCTGACACTCCACTATCCACTATTTTTTTAAAAAATTGATATGCATGAAATTTCTGGTAGTTATAGTGAAATTTTCTGGTAAATTGCAATTTCATACCGGAAAATTTTAGCAAAATTGAATTTTTTTTGGTATTGTATGTATTAAGGATTTTTTAACGATTAGGATTTTGTCGCCAATTTTGTTGGACTGTGATTGTATCGACAGTTTTGTGTGGTTTAAAATGAAACCAAAATTGTATAAATATGGGTCATCTGTTCTTTAAAAAAATATTTCAAAATATCTATTCCTCAATTTTTTATTAAGGCAAAAATGTATTTCAGCAGAGACAATCCTCCCATTGAGTTCAAGTTTCCGGATGACACCACATCTCTCGCTAACTTCACAGACAAGTTGAATGAATTGTTGCATGATACCGATAACACATAGGTGAGAAAGATCGAGTTTCATGAAGATTGAATTGATACAAATGGAAGGGTGAAATACAACCTTATTGAGTTGAAGATTGATGAAGATATGACAGTCATGTGGAAATCATTTCGTCATAGGCTAACTAAGGAGCCGATCGAGCTTGATGCGCAAATTTCAAAATCTATCGACGACATAATCAAGAGGATTGAACGTCCATAATCATCTGGTAGTGTCTAGATTTTTATGTTTCGGTATTTTTAATTTATGTGTTGTAATATTTTAAGTTATGTTCATCTTCGAATCGAACTATGTAATCGACAAAATATTATGTAATAAAAAGTACTGTGCTGAGTAGTATGAGTCACAAAGTGAGTCGCAAAATATACAAATAATACAAATATCATATGAAATATCTAAGTAAGCCCCTGACGGGCTATGTGTCCTACCCGCAATAATCCAATAAAAACATCAACATCTGGGTTTACCAAACCCATGAGGTTATCCATAATAATAGCAATCATGGCGAAGCGCTCCTGGTCATCTGTGCCTGGTGGAGGTGGTGGAGGCGACACGTCGTCATTCTGTACGCTACAATTGTTTTATTCTTAATTCATAATATATTAGTTGTATGCTATAATTTCTACGTATTTTTACTAATGCAAGTATGATTATTTGAATCATAAGTATTTATATGTTAAGACACCAAGAGACAAGACATCAAGAGACAAGACACCTAAATACATAAAACTAAAACACCAAGATACAATTATGTGATGTTATGTAATGTGTAAATTGTAGGTTATTTTAATTGTGACATTTTGATTATGAAGTAATATACATTTTTTTATTCTTAAACTAATTTTTATTGTTATTATGATACAATTATTATTATTATTATGATAATTGTTCTGGACTAGGCCCGACAGGCCCAAAAGCATTGCTAAGGCCCAATCCAAATGAACTTGCTGAGGACCATGCCGACCAAAGGGTCACAGTCGTGCCCGACGTGCTCCCTGAGGTCACGTGCTCGACCTCTACACCTCCAGCTCGACATCCTGCTGTCCAGCTCGACATCACCTCGAGCACCCCAACTAGGGCAGACTCAGTCCACTGCGCTCCCAACGAGGCCCCGAAAAGTCCGCGTCTCCGTCCGCCCGCACTTCACGCAGAACATCCAGGAAGGGGACCACGTGCGGGTCCCCACTACGCACGTAGAACCTGGCAGTTCCTCCATTGGGCCAATCCTGCCCGGCCCAATGAAGGAACCTTGGCCCAACGCTGGGGGCTATAAATACCCTCTGTTTCCAGAGGGTCAGGTATTCATCATTCGACCCATACACTTATTATTGCCTGCTCGTGCTTCTACTTACTTCAACATCGGAGTGCCTTGCAGGTACCCCCCTCACCTCGTTCAAGAAGCTTTCAGCTCGGAGCCAACCGTGACGGTCCATTTCTGATCAGGTCAGATCAGTGGCGCCGTCTGTGGGAACCTAGCTTCCCCGTCTTACAAACAACTCAAAAGACCAAAGCTCAAAATTCAACTACCTGTCATGGCTGATCCAGCTCGCGACGAGCAGAACGTCCGTGTCGCCGACACCAATAATGGCACGGCGGACAAAAACGGACATCTCGACAACGTCGTCAATCCCGGCCACAACACCGCTCCTGCAACCACCGTCCTCGAAACTTCCTCACACAGGGACGGAGCCATATCATCATCCTCCCCGCTCCCACCACCACTCGAGAACGACCCGGCGGCCCTCGCCCACTACAGAGCCGTCCGGTTTCAGGAAGTCCCCGTCCCCCCCGGGGCGGATGCCACCACACAAGCGTTGTTCGCAGTAATTAACCAAACGAACTATCTCATCTTCGCCCAAGGAGAGAGATTAAAGGCGCTTGAAGACGAGCGAAGACCCCCGAGGAGGCATCGGAGACCATATACTCCCCCTCCTCGGGTGACTGAAGTTCGACACCCTTCTCCCCCGCGGAGACACTACAGGGAAAACTCCAGAAGCCCCTCTCCCCGGCCAAAGCAGAGGCGCCCCTATTTGGAGAGACAGCCCGTCATCCCTGCCGGAGAACCCAGTCGCGACCCGGCAAGGCACGACAAGAGACACGCCGGGGACGGACGTGTAACATTCAACCACCGAGCATCACGCTCGAGGGAGACTCAGCACGACCACCGTGCCAGACAATACTACAGGTCTCCATCTCTGTCTCCGGAGAGGAGCAACGAGGACGACCCCCGCGGTCCCCTGTCGCAGGCCATTATGGATGCACCCATCCCCCCGGGCATGGAGAAACCTCCACATCTGAAGAAGTATGACGGAGTTGCGGACCCGGTCGACCACATTGACGGGTTTGAGGCCATGCTCCACTATCATAATGTCAGGGGGCCCATCAAGTGATGTCTTTTCCCCACGACTCTCAGGAAGGCGGCCATGGACTGGTATAAAGGACTCGCCCCGGGCTCAATCACGTCGTGGCGGAACCTGAAGAACCAGTTCATCAGTTCCTTTACAGCTTCTCGGCGCCATCCGAAGACCGAGGCGGCCCTCGAGGCCATCATCCAAAGACAGGATGAAACCTTGAGGGAGTTCATCAACCGCTTCAACCGAGAAGCAATACAGGTCCCCTGCGCGGACCATATGAAAAGATACTTACTGGAGAGAGGTCTCCTCCCCGGCACAGAATTCAGAAAGGCTGTGGGTATCGAGCCACCTCCGACATTTGATGCCCTCCTCGATAAGGCCCGAGCATATATGAACTACGAGGAGAGGGAAGCTGCCAACAGGGCCCGAGACTCCAGGGCTCGGGGTCCCAACAACAGCAGCAGTTCACGCCAAGAGGCTCCTCCCCGACGAACCGGGGAGAAAAGGAAAGAAGACCGACCCCGGGAAGTCCGGGAACAAAGGGGTCCCTCGGGCCGTTTCACCGAGTATACTCCGCTCACAGCTTCCCGCGAGCGTATCCTGGCGGAGTGTGCCAGTACAGACTTCAAGGACGGCGGCGTCAAGCGTCCCCGACCTGCTCCCGCCAAGCCAAGGGCAGACAAAAATAAATACTGTCAATACCACAGGAGTCATGGTCATCTGATAGAGGACTGCGTCCACCTCAAGGACGCCATTGAAACCCTCATCAAGGGAGGGAGGCTCGCGCAATACAGGCGAAACGACGCTCCTCGTCGTGACGCTCATGAAGCCAAGGAGCCAGAAGAAGACGCCCGACCATCAGACAAGTCGGTGCCTATCCAGACCGCCTTCTCGGTAACCATGCCCGAGGATTTCGACATTCCCGAGCACTTGCAGGAGCCGCTGACAACACACAGCAGGTGGGAATACTTTCCCTCCGCCATGGTCATCAACGGGGGCGGGTTCAACGACCTCACCATCAATTCAGCTAAGAGGAAGTTGGACGAGCTGGTCGACGCGGCTCCCCCGCAAACAGTAACGTTCGAAAGGGTGAAGGGCAGGTCAGAGCCCATCACCTTCTACCTAGAAGAGCTCCCCGGTGGAGCCCCGAACGCAGTCATCCCCTTACTGATAAGGGTAAGAATGGCTAATTTCGACGTGCATCGCATCCTGGTCGACGAGGGGAGTTCCGTCGATGTAATGTACAGCCAGCTGTTTCGAACCTTACAGCTGGACGACTCACATCTCTCTCCGTATGTGGGGTCGGATCTACAAGGCTTCAACGGCTCGACTTCCAAACCTTGGGGTTATGTCGAGCTCCTGGTTACGTTCGGCGAAGGAACGGCTACGAGACAAGTTAAAGTCCGGTTCCTCGTCATTGACTGCCCGTCTCTATACAATTGCATCTTGGGGAGACCGACACTGGCAGAGCTAACAGCGGTACCCTCGACCGTCCATCTGAAGATGAAGTTCTACACCAGAAGGGCACGGGTAGCCACCATCCAAGGAGACCTAGCCGCTTCCCGTAGGTGCTTCAACGCAGCTTCTAAGGGACGGGATACCGTCGACATAGGGACCAGACCCGCTAAAAGGACAAAACAGGAGCCCGACAGGAACGCATCCCCCGAGGAAGAAGTCCAGAAAGCTCCACCAAAGGTCGACTCCATAGC